GAATGTATGCAAACGGTGGTTTGATTAATGAAAACCATACCTTGGCTTCCGTGTCTTACCTTCTCTTCCGACATTATGGGACAGATTTCTATTTTTTTTATTTCTTTCTTAATACATCATAAGTGAAGCACCACATTGAAACTAGACGATTTACTGGTTGAAAGAAGAGAAGGATGATTGCCAGGTGAACATCTTGGAAGAACTTTTGCACCTTTTGTTGATCTGCGAGTGCAACCCTATTGATTAGAACAATTTTATGAACGCAGACATATTCGAAGTCTTCTGTGGCTAATTTCTATGAAAATTAGATTTATTGTGGAAATATATCTAGTTTGAAACTAAGTATATATTCGGTTACAATAATGTCTTGTGCATACTAAGAAAACAATTAAATTAAAAAGTATGAAGTGTATTTTGAAACCAATAATAATCATTTTAAAAGGAAAGCGTACGATGAAACCGATGTAATTTTTACAGGAATTCAGGATTCATTTTAACCTGAAGGTGTGAAATACCCAGATCGCAAAGATCCTGGACCTATTACTGATTTCAGAAGATTAAGCCTAATACGCAGAATACTATGTACGGTAACCGACACTAAACAACGGCAGACGGTTGGGCAATAAGACTGTTTATTCTTCAACCGATAACGAAACAGAAATACAGGCTGCTATCAGTAAAGTCTGTAAATAAACGTTAATAGAATGTACACTTTTACTTTTAATCGTATTTTCGCCTTCTTCTGACAACCAGCATACGACCACACGTCCCGCTAAATGAAGACTAGTTCGAGTAAACAAACCATTCAGTGTTCACTAACAGTAACAGAAAGGTTCAACGTTTTAAAAGAAACGTCGTTCATTGAGTACAAAAGCTGTTACACGGTGTATTCTCTATGCAACTATGCCTTTGTTGTTTGTACTTCGAATTTTTAGTAGTAGTCGAAAATGAGTGGGAGTATTTCAGAGAATCAGTTCATTCAAATTTTGGGCTTCGGCACAACAGAGAGTAATAGCGTCAGAAAATAAGCTATGTGCATATTTCAGGTAAATTTTAGTCACTGAAATATTTTTTTGACTTTACTGATTAATTTCTCATAATTTACCAGCCAATCCTAAGCCCACAAAAGGGGTAAGGTTGGACTTGAGGCTAGTAGTCACACACCATAAAAACAACCTCATTTTTACTAAAATTCAAAGTCCGGAAAAATGTATTGATTCGCCAACAGAATTCGAAGACTATATTGTGAGTACAAATTAAGCTGTCGGGTGGAATCTTAAGCGAAGCCAGTCGACCAGTCCGCATTTTCTAGATGAATGCTAAATTAGGGATTCAGGCGTAGAATGTCCAGAATTGAGGAGTGGCTACTTGGCAAGGCTGGTCATATTTCAGAAGAAGCGGGTATGATTCGTGTACAAGTGTCAGGAATATGTGAAAGTAGATTGAATGGAAGTGTACTCTCCTAATTATTAGCTAACGTCGATAATCTACTCCTGTCGTTCAGACGACAGCTACGGCCAGCTCTTATGGAGTGGATATCCTGGTGTCACAAACACCATTTAAGGCTGTCATGCTGTGGGCGCCAGTCTCCCAGAGAATCATTTTAGCTAGATTCAATTATAAAGGATAGAACGTTGCAATTATGCAATACTCTGCAGCTGCGAACGACGCAGATCCAGTGGAGAAGAAAGGGGGATTTCCACAGATAACTTCAGCGATTAATGGACAAGACTGCAGCCAGATGCTGACATCAGAATTTAAATGGATTATATGAATACCACCGAATACAGATTAGAATGGCAGGAAACCGGGAGCAACGAAACAATCAAGAATATAAAGTATAAACAGAAGGTTTGCGCTACAAAATTCAGAGGCACAGAAAGGACGAAATGTATAATGTTGGAAGTTGGAAGTCAAGAAAAATACTCTTGATGTGGGAAGGAACATATGCTGTCACTGAGAGAGGTGCTTCCGCTTCTACCATCAGAAGAGGCGACTAAAAGGAACAAGTTAACGCCAACCAACTCTTTAGATGCACACAGTTGCATAAAGGATGTGGCGCTTTGATAACGTAGGCGTACAGGAGCATCTCCGATCAAAATATCTTGGTGAAGCGGACACATAAATGTCTACTGCAGACCAGAAATTATAGGCAGTTTATTGTGTGTGGTATCTTCTGCAACAATCTTGAGTGTTGGAACGTAGGATTAAATTGCAAATACAAGGAATGAAACATCTTTGTGAAATAGGATAAAAAGCATGGAAGAAAGACAGAAGAAGCAGGGTGCCAATAACTTCTGCAAATGTAAATCTTGATGTAACGTCGTTCAATTTTGCCACCACTGTCTATCATTTTTGTTTACCGAAAATGTGTAGCTGTCTATCATTGAGTATTGACGAACAAACAATTTTTCTGCCAAAATAAAAGTGTGTTAATATGCGTGTGAAACGTGGACACTGTGGTAGTATGTAATTCCGCATTCATTTGTTTATTAGATATATCACACAATGATGAAACAGTATTACTTACTGGACGACGTATCGTGTAATTATAATTTATATCAATATGAAAAATAAATTGTGTTTTAACGTCGTCCAGTAAATACTGCTGTGTGATATATGTATTAAACAAACTGATATGAAACACAGGTGTGTTCCTGATTGTGGTGGACTGGGTCATGAGAAGAAGTGAGAAGAAAATCTACCGATGAAACACCCTAGAAGATCTGAATTTCGCTGATGCTTTTGTCTAATTTCACGTAATGTCGAAGATCTACAGGCGGATACGCATGAGCTGGTCAGACAGACCGTAAAGACAGGATACCAGGCGACACGGTCAACTCCAAGGGTGACTTGAAAATGATCATGTGAGTGAGAAATTTAAATTTGTAGTCAGCCGTAAAGTCAGATAAAGTGATAACAAAGAACCAAGTGTAATGTAGATGTGATGCTGAAATCTCCTTGTGTATTGATTTTATTGGTAAATGCATCATTTCTATTCACATCTTGTGTTCACACTGGAAATTAAGTAATGAATTCCATATTAGATAAGTTTATTTTTATCGAAAGCTATCATGGATTGGTCAACTGACAAATTTCTACAGCTGGGTACCAATTGGTCGAAAACGAAACCTGGTCCGGTCGCTTGCCAATCGCATTTGGCGCACATGTAGCCCTGATACTGTGGAAGATGAGTTATACCTTTTAAGGTAAATCCTAATAGAAAATGGATTTCCACCACGTTTTATAGATAAGAATATACATTCAAATCTTATAAATCGGGACTTCTCATCCTTACCTAAGAAAATACTTAACATGAGCTTGGAATTCAAAGGGGATTCAGCTGCCGATATCATGAAACGAAGCATATCACAGCCCCTGAAAATAACATTCCCTACTGCATCCCTGAGAATAGCCTATACTAGCCGACCATTACTGTTCAGTAACCTGAAGGACAAAATCCCGCTGTTGACCAACTCTATGTACGTTTATCAATTCACCTGCTCCTGTGGAGCTAGAAATATCGGTCGTTCGACTCGAATTTTGTACAAGACGGTGCAAGAACACTATCCTGCATGGCTACGAAAAGGTGGAAGTGGAGCAATAAGAAGCGCGATCATTGAACATCTGGTCGATAATCATCACCCTATCTCTATAGCCTCCGCCTTTAAAGTCATCTACAAGGTGAAGAGTAATTTACCCAAATCCCTAGGTACCCCACTCATCTGTATTACTGAAGCCATCTTTGGCTATCGAAACAGAAAAGCCAGATCTCTGTGTACAGAAAAAATTAGTTCAACCCCTCCAACTTTCATGGTCTTAATCCCTCTATGCTAAAATATGGTAATCCCCAATCATATTTTAGCTCTACCAATTTTTCATTTTTCATTTTGTCTATTCAATTTTTAAACTCTTCCTTATTATTATGTCAGTTGTTACTATTACTACTCTCACTTTGAACTGTCCCCGGTATTATTTCATTTGTTCCACTTGTCATTCTAACTCAATTTTGTTTTGCAGCATTAAATTCTATGTTACCAAATTTCACACAATATCACATAAAGTTTTATTTTATTCGATTTGTTTACTAGTCCTATAATTTCACACCCTTTCCAAGTTCCATCCATCCTAAGAATTATTCTATGTAGGACATTAACTGTTTGCCACTTTCCATTTAACTATCATCATAAACACTTAAGTTTTAATTGCAAATCATACTATTATTATTATATGCATTCATACCTAAGATTCAATTCCCTCACCGGATATAACTTCTTGAAAACCATATATATACGACTGTACAGCTTGATGATAAATTCCTTCAAAAGAGTTTCTTCGCTGAATCACTTGTTTTGATTTTCTATATATTACAATGGGAATGAGTTTATTTTTATTATCACACATTTATGCAGCATAAATAGTAACAAGTAACGAATACCAGGAGAAAATTTGTTTTAGGTTTTGGTATGTCAGCTTTGATAATTATCTTTTGCCCTATGCAACACAAGCATAAAATCACTTGAACCTTATTCTGCTGCATATCACAGAAATAGAATCTTTTCTAAACAGCATCAAAATAGCAAGTAATATGTAAGCCACATTAGATATGCATCCTGTCACTTAGGTTTATAGAGAAGTTAGTGATACTTTTGTTAAAAGTTTCCAGTTATCATATAAAATACATAAACCGTAATTAACATATATATATATATATTATATTTAAGCGTATCAGAAAACTAAATTCCTCGGTATGTTCACGTATCACTCACAAAAGTCACATACATAAGACAGATCAACCAATTGTATTTGAGTCATCCTTATATGTGCATAGATTGTTTCTTGTTATAATATCCTTTAAAATGAGCATATTCATTTATAAGAACTCACTGTGAACATCAAGGCATTAAGTTGTCACTACTTATAGAATATATCACAGCTACAATTGTTTCTCGTTATGGTCGTTATGGATTAGTTATTCTCTGAAAACATACAGTAGTTTCATGGAAATAAAACGTAGTACGTTTTTCGTTCTTCTTACAATCCTATGTATCTCCATCAATCTTTCCGTTGAAATATGTCTGTTCATAACGGATCAATATGTGTTCGAGAGGTAAAGAGTTTAACACCTATGTAACATGTATTATTTATGAATTTTTGATCCTATTAAGCAACACGCTTTTATTCTTTATCCTTGTAACGCATTTTATAATAATGAGTGAATCCAGAAAAGTGACTAATGAGTAAGTCTAAAGGTACTAAGCTTCTATATAATTTTATAAACGATCTTTATAGGAAACAAATAGTGATTCAACTACTGTAAAATCAGCAACCAACGTAAATCGTTGGTCCAATATTTGAGTTATCTTATTTTAAAATTTGAGCTCTTAAACAGTGTGTTATTTCAGGTATATTCGAGAAGGTCATATTTGAAGAAATAACACTTTCAATGTTAAATATTCAATGAGTAAGAAGACTGTAGCTTGTTTGTAGGGAGTGCAGTCATTATTGCACAACAGCTTAAACATGACTAAAGAATTCGGTGTTTCATAATTAAAGATTTTCTGGCATAAGAATAAAGATTTCACCTTATTTTTAATACCTTTAATGGAAGTGTAACCTTTCAAAAATGTTCGCAGTTAGTCTGCTTAGACAAATCCGGCTGCATTGCTTGAACAGCGAACATGTTATTTGAACAAAGCAAGAACTACAGTTTTAGCAGAATAAAATGGTACCATTTTATTCTGCTAAAACTGTAGTTCTTGCTTTGTTCAAATTCATTAAGGGGAATAAATGTATGAACATGTAATTCACGAGTGAATAATGACGATTAACGTCAGTAACTTTCTGGTGCGAGCAAGCGCTTGAACAGAGTATTATTACTTTTTTTTTCCTGTTTTTCTTATGTATCACAATGATAGGCATGGAAGCTAATATACTACTTAGTGTGTGAGTTTAAATTTATTGAACCTTACATAACAGATATCAGTCAAACAACTCGCCTCAGAAACCTGTTTGCCTAAAACACTGATATGAATTCTTGTGAGGTTTAAAAAGGTGTAAACTGGTCTATAATCATAGATTTTATCTGGTAGAAATGTACCGTGAAGAAGATAGAAAGTGTCAATCATTCCTGACTAACAGATTCACGATACTCTACAACACAACAGAATAAATAACTGCTTACTCAGCTTTATTAATCGATGTCCAGCGGAAATATACGGATCACTAGACAGTTACTCTATCTTGATTTGTGACCAACCAAGTCACATATATAAAGAAAAACATATTTGAAGAAATATCAGAGATAGTGAAACAAGTAATCCCAATGTTTCATTCAGTAAACTGCTTTAAATTTCATCAGGAAAATAATGCATACCTATCAATACATAAACAAGTGGTGTGCACTTCTCTACCCAACCATTCCATCTTGCTTCAAATAAATGTTCTCAAAATACAAGTCGCCTAACTATAATTTCTATATCACCATGACTTTTTCTATGACATTTATTGAAACGTAGTATGTGAGTACACACTATCTGTAATGAGTAAAAAAGTAATAATAATTCCGAATTTGAAAATTATTCATATTGACTCATAAATGACCAAGAATTTTAAATATAAAGTGTGAATTAATTAAAGATAAATGGTATTTTTTTAATTTCGATAACTTCACTAAAATAACTCAGATAGCCTTACCAAAACGAGATGCTGGGATTAACGTTTCTCGTGTTGTTGAGATTTAAACAAATATAGTCTTTGATATATGTATACTTTTCAGTCACAGTCTAATTCTTGAGCAACTGTTGATGTATAACTTAACCGGATTTCATACAACATAATCTTTAAATGGATGAAGGATTTCATCAGTGAGAGAACCACTGGAAATCTTGGCAGTACTGGACAGCTGTTTCGTCTTAGTTTTGGACTCTTCATCAGTACGCACTCCATCAACAGGGTTCGAACCCAGGACCTTCTGGGTACAAGGTGAGCTCGTATACCACTGAGCCACTGGGACCCGATCTAATGGCCCGTGAATTCTAAAATCTGCCAATTCACGACATAGCGCGACTACTTCGCAATGTCTTCTTCGATGAGTTACTACCTCATCTTCAACCTGCTGTACCCTACTGGTCACGGTTTCCCACTGGAACCCCAGGTCACTGCCTGAATAGTGCCAGTCGCTAGTGACCATTAGATTAATTTTCAAGTATTGCTTTTGTAGGGATTTATTTTGATTGGATGAATGATTTCATCATGAGCTGACACCATTTAGAGAACCACTGGAAAACCTAAAAGTTTACTAGATACTAGATAACACTTCTGAAGGTATCAAAGTCCATTAGTCCAAATTTCAAAACTCCACTTATTTATAATGTCAATCAACTAACCACAACTTATCTATTGGACTTGCCTTTGTGAATATCTAAACGAATTCATGTCTCGAAAATTACTTTTCAGTGTTCCTAATTAGGTGATTTTCGCTAATCAATGAATCCAGTTTTAGGTATAGGGGGTGAAATTAAGACGTCAATAGTCATCAAAACAATTAGCCAATAGATGTTGGTAATAAGATATCTAAGTCTACAGGATGGGGTGAAAATTAATTACGGAATTCAAAATGAATTAATTCATAGGCGTTAGCGATAAGTGCGTCGGTGGCACAGTGGTTAAAACTCTCGCCGACCATGCACATGGTCCGAGGTTCGATCCCCTGCCGACGCACACGTGATATCTATGGTCGGCCTGCAAAATTTGGGCTACCGATATCCATGCTGAAAATTCCATACTTGTACCAAGCTGTAAATAAAAAAATTACCTAATTAAGAAATTCGTAAAGTAATGATGACTAGGATGACTCAGAATAATTACGCAAACACGTTAATAGAATTAGCTAGAATTGTAAAAACTAAGTTAAAAGGGAAGGAAAAAAAATTGTTTTTAAAAACTTGATACATATTATGTAGTTTGCCATGCAAAGAAAGGAGCTGCACAAATTTCATTTGAACACAGATTTCGCTTGCTCAGGTGAATTACAATTGCCTCTGTTGTATCTAAAAGTCGTACTCATAGACCATGCGAGAGGTTGGGTGACATGCGATAAATAACTTTAAAAGCTTCGTTAGAGTCGATCTGATGTCCAATATCGACAAGCTGAACTAGAATTGAGCTGCTTATGACTTTATTTCGACCTCTGCTAAATCAAGATGGGAAGTGTTCAGAAGTTCGCCACCCAATGTAACTAGCCCCACACAAGCAGTCAAACTAGTAAATACACGTGGAAGAGGGGAAATAGGGCAACTCTGTCTATTCCTTGAACTAAGTATTGGTTAGCTAGTGAATGTAAAGCATGACTAAGCTGTGTCGAAAGTCCTTTTGGGCCCTTCTTGGACGCTATCATAGGATCTCACTACTGACATCACCCGTGGAATGTAAGCTCAGGAAGACTGATTGTTTGAGAACAGTGGGTACCTTGGACTGTTTACTTTCTGAGTTCATGTGTTTGTTTAAGAATTTAGTTGGATATCCATTTCTACTTAGTAGATCACGAAGATTTCCCAGTTCTTCCTTCAGTGTTTTACTTGAACAGATAACTCTAGCCCTGTGAACCGGACATCTGACCAAACTGCGTTTGTATTGTAGAGGTATGAAACTCTGGAAGTGACTATATCGTACAGTTGAAGTAGGTTTCCGATGCAAGAGCCTAAATACTGTTCGTCTGTTCTCCTAGTTCTTAGGAAGTACAAAAACGAGATAGAGTCATTTTCTTCCTCTTCTTTAGTGAATCTTACGCCAGGATGTGATTTATTGAATTTCTCTAATATGTCACTAGTTTCACTTTCTTCCTTCACAACTGTAAATGTGTCATCAACATATCGGCAGCAGAAATCAAGGTTATGTATTGCATCATTAAGAGAACCATTCTCTAGTTCTGCCAGGAAGAAATCCGTTAGGAATGAAACTAATAGTGATCCCATGGCAACACCATCTGATTGTTCAAGCGTTTCTTTATTGGACCCTAGAAGTCCGTTTAGGCGAGACACAAGAATTTCAGTCTCTGTATCTTGCTTCAGCAATTAATTACGTACGTGAATAAGGCAGATACATCCAGAGATATCATTTTTTTATCTTTCACATTTGATTCCTTGATTCTTCCTACAAACTGGAAACTATCTTTTACGCTATTTCCCACAAGTTTCTTATGTAACGGCTGTAAAAGTTCCACCAGCTATTTCGCAGCTAAATGGTATGGTGAGCTCGACATGCCGAGGATCGATCCAACTGTAAAGCCGTTTTTGTGAACCTTTCGGCACGGTGACACCCAGGTTATGAGGCTTACCAAAAATTCCCCAAAACAGCTTGCCAATTGATAATGATCAAGGGTTCATCAATTTATTTCTCTGAACTGTTTAATTATATTTCGGCTGTATTCTATAATTTCACTTCATTCTGCATATGAATGAAATATTAGTAAGATTGACGTTATTATAGAGTGGATGCAAGAAAATATTTAACGAGTTTATCACATGTTGTCTTGTTAGTTATCAATAAACTCTATAACTAATATTTTGACGCCATCATGTTTTTTCATCCAAAAAATGAATGTAAAAGTGAGATATAAATTATCACCTGATTAATCTGTGAGAAAGAAAATAAGCTTAATCTGAGCCAAAGGAATTAGGGTACATCAGCCTACTAATCTGAATTAGACATAAGGAAAATTTTTAGATTATCGACAAGACAGCATTTAATAAACAATATATATATATATATATACATATATATTGAAGAAAAACAAGGGAATCGCGCGCTTTCAGTTAAGTTACTTGAAATAAAGCACTTCATATTCATAAAAGCCAGAACTTTTAGTAACAAAATTGCAAAAGTTAGGAAATCACGTCTTTCACTTGTCTGACCCGGCCAGCACCTTTCTAACCTCAGACACCAAGGATGAAGGTCTCAAAGTCAGGATAGGAAACGTGAGACACACACTGAATAATCTGAAGTCATTGTAGAAATAAACTGAACCCAGGATAAAGAACGCAACGCGGATTCCCAACATTAATGCCAAGTCAGCGATTCTGTATGGTTCAGATACTTGAATTGTCATCAATGTCTGTCTTCGCTGCATGCATGAGATCGGATGTTCAGAAAAGAAAAGTAACAAAGAAGTCTGGGAACGAAACAACCAACAGCCCAACAAATATACCCAAGAAAAGTGGAGATGGGTAGGATGGACACTGTAGAGACTGCTGAGTGACATTACGCACCAGGCCCTCAAATGAAACCCGAGTAGAAAACACCGAGTTAGGTTTCCCAGGATGACAAGGAGAAGATTGAGTGAGGAAGAGATGAGTGCCTACAGGGAGACGTGCAACCGGCTACAAACTACTACGGAAAACAGGTTGGAATGTGTTGGTTGGAAAATGTGCTGCTGAAGGCCTATGTTCCACTTACAACCTAAGGGAATCATAATTGTATTATATTAAGACTGGAGAAACGATTCTGTTTTTACTTAATAACAGTTTCGTCGTTTAACCTTATATTTAAACGGTAGTAACTAAAAAATCTCTGTCTCCTGAATGACGTCTTACATGAATATATTAAACTAGTTGACATTTCTCAGTGTCATGCAGCATGGATTTTACTTGATTTAAAAATATCATTTCCGTTATCCTCTGACAATGAGTGTTTTTAGTTTTCTTGGGAAACAAGTTCACTGCCTTCCGGTCAGGAATGCCCCAGATGTATATTTCGTAATCTTTTGTTTCTTTCCTTTATGTCAAGATTAATGTTAGGAATAATGGACTATTTGAAAAATATCTTCAATTAACAGATACTTGTCTCTTATTCGCATAGCCGACCTATGAAGTTATAGAAGGGGATTTAAATCAGGCCATCATGTGAAAATGGTTAGAGAACCACTCAAAACCATGGAGTATCGGACAGAAGTACTCACCGACGGGGATAAAACCGGGAGCATTGAGGCTGTGAGGAAAGGCCATCGATCATTCAGTTTGTGATCCACTTGAGATCAATAGAATCCTTGCAAACCAACACTTGACAATATAGTTTTACTAGTTTACAGTAGTACTACTATGAAAAATAACGACTAACGTGCAGTTGAGTAGAAGTTCTTATCGCAATTAACAAGACGGTGAAATCAGCGAAAAATACCAGATTAATTTTCCTCAATAATAGAAATATAAAAAAATGCCGTATTGATAAAATCCTTTATTCTACTACAATTCAGGTCTTTAAATGAACATGGAATTCCATATGCAACCAAAGAAAAGCTCGAGATATATAAAAACTTGTAAGTAAAATGTTTAAACTGTTGTAAACATCTCATCTAATTCATAAAAAAAAGGAAACTAAAAAATTCCAAGACCCCAGTTTATTTACTATCTATGTACGTCATTGCAGTTAATCAATCTTGGTGAAAATTATTTACTGAATATTTTAAGATCAATTACGGTATTCTTCATTTTGAAGCACTATAAATATGTGAAGATGGATCTTCCTTCTTATAACTAACTTTAAATAGCCTTTTTTATATAAGTGATCACTCAGGATCTCATTGACACAACATTCTGATTTGGATCATTTTTCACTTTTAATTTCATTACTTTGAAATTCGTGTGAAGATCAGCTTCATCTAGCATAAATAAAAAATTCATTTCTTCAACACTAATGTTAGGATAGTGTTTGTTTCTATACGATTCATAGACTTGGTACTCGTGTCAAGGAAAGCACTCCACGAAGGCTGAGGCTCCATCAACACCTGACTTCACTGCCTCGACAGTGAAAACTAGGTGGCTAAAATGTATAAGTAGCACCCAGTTCTGGCAACAAACCAACCAAGAACTTATCTCCTGAAGCATTTGCAGAATTAAATGGAGATGGATAGGAAGTGCAGTGAGGAGAATATTAAGTGAAATCACGCGCCACATCCTTGAATGTGGCACCATTCTAAGACGCCGAGTTGAATATCTAAGGGTGAGGAGATAGAAGCTCGTGAGTAATCCTGGGTCCATCTGAAGAGGTCTGTAGTGATCACTGCGAAATTGAAATTTGCCACTGAAGCCTTAAGCCTCACTCAAACACCAGGGAATAATTGTAGTTAGAAATTTGAAGACGCCACTTGCATTCCGTCTGCCACCACAGATTCAAAATAACTGTATACCATACTTCCTTATTTCTTCAGCATTATGAGCAGCGTCACCAGCCAATCAACATCATGATGTGGACATTCGACGTCTGTGACTTTCATTGATGGTATTGGCATCGGTCTACTGACTTTGAGAAGGCCATCACTTACCGGTGTCAGCAGCTCCCAAATCGATGAATTGTGCCGGTTCAATGGGTGAATAGATATTCAGTTGGTTTCATACACGTGCATAGTGAAACTTAATCACTTCAAACATTGTCCGAATGTTATAACCCCATACATGTCAACTTTTATCGTATGTAGTAATTTAAACAGTTGTGCGAACTTGTCATATTAATTGAATTTTGATCAAATGAAAGCATAGCTGCTTCAAGCCAAACAACTGAATTTTATTAATAATTAAAAGCTGTTAATGGTAAAATAATTAATCTTTGTTTGTATAATTTTATAAATCTATTTTCATCCTAACAAATAGATGCATTAAACGAATTCTGTCCTACTTTTAATCCTTACTGCTGTAAGAGTATTCCCATGTTATAAAATATGGGTGCTTGTGTTCAATTTCTTTTTTAACATGTTTAAGTGTATTAAATCATTAAACTGACATGTGATTGCCTAATGATTTTTTTTAGAACATCGGAAAACTCAACGAATCTTAAATTGGCTCAGAGGAAAGCAGCTCTAGTTGACGCGGCTTTTAATGGAGTACGAATAAGCGTAGGCTTGATAACCACACTTATAATTGGATATCTGTCAGATCGTTTCGGTCGTAAATGTGCATTTGCTTTACTTCTTGGCGGTGAAACGTTGCAAATCATAATGATATGTACGTGAAAAAAAACAAACATTTTTGATGTCGAATTGTTCACCTGCCTTGTTTTTCAACAGCTGAGTGAAATATTTTGTAAAGTATTTGTTTTTAACACTTAATTCTTTTGTGCAACTAACTTAGGTAGATACAATTTGATAGCTATTAGTCTTAGAATTTTTAGAGTGTATTCACATGGAATTACTAAAAATACTTTATATCGATTGTAGTACGTAATATGGAGCTAACAAATACCCCATTTTTGTAATAGTATTATCACTTAATATATTTAAACTTAACTAAAAAAATAATAAAAAGAGGGAATCTGTGTAACCTTCGTAAACAAACAAGTGATTCCTGGATATTCTGACAGTTTCATAACTTAAGTCAATAAAAGTTTGTGAAATAATCAAAAGCAAATTAGTGAGACTCATCGATTCTAATAACCGAAGCATTATATCAACAGTTTACTGGAGATCTATCCAGTATAAGTGAATTCTCTAAGTATAATGATTCTGTCATAGTAACAGTGTTGTTTTAACACATGAAATGTCTTTAGACATTTTCAGAATTAAATCACTTTGTGCTGCGGTTTAATCAGTTGATAAACTATTTTGATCGGTAAACTTGTTATAGTTGAGAGTCATATGAGTGCCATTTGCTGAAAATTGCTTTCTAGGTTTTCTCCCAGCTCTGTTGACAGTCTCGTTCACCATTTTCATGTACAAAGCGCTAATTTATGAATGCAATTCAGATTCTACTCATTATATGATGTATGGTGCCTAGAACAGTATTAAAAGCTAACTGGTGGGATTATTTCTTGTTGCAAGCTGTTTAGCACTGGAAACGACTTTAGTCAATTCGTTGACTGTCATATTTTCCTGCATGATGTGCAGGTCTTTGGAAAAAGTCATTCTATTGGATAAATACTACCAGAAGAATCATCATAGTGATATTTTCAAAATTCAATTCACTTCAGAAGTCATATTTGTATTCTCCTTGATAAACTCGAATAAAGTGGACTGACCATCAATTGAAGCGCTAGATGAAGATTCAAAATGTATCTTATCTTCATAACTTTTTCAAGTCAATGTAGAGATATGCTTAGGTATTCTTAAAGGAACCATATGTATGGGAGAAGAGGAAGAAACCCACCGAGTCGATCTGTTACGTAAGATAAATTTTTAATTTTTAATATCTCATCTGCGTCTACGTCATACAGTAACCCAACAAGTGCTTAAATTAAAATGAATAATTTTGACTCATTTATTCAATGTTAATAGGTAATGTCAATAGACAAGATGCGGTGCTAGAAACGACTTTCATAATTAATAACCTGAGTTATAGTCTTGTTCAAACTCTTTCTGTTCACTATCGCATCATGCTGTATTTGGTGGGGGATGTTTTGTGAAAGCATAAAAGTAAACCATATTAAGAAAAGTGAATTATGAAGTTTTATTTAATAACGATAACTTCTGAAGAGATAAGCTCCATGTTTCGTTTGAATTGATCCAGGAATATTGTGAACATTGTATAACTGTTCATATTCTTTTTTTACATTAAGGTATAATCACACTTCTAAAGCTGAATGAATGGCTGACAATAGTCTCTGGTCTATTCGAAGCATTTTGTGGAGGGGTCTGTTGACGATTAATGCACAGATTAGCGCTGCAATAATGGATGCAAGCCTACATAAGGGCAAACAGAAGAGAGGAAATAAAGACAAAAGAACAAATATATCTCATACTGACGCTTTATGGACACATTTCGCTATTTTTGATGGCTTGGCAAATCTAAGCATGTCTGCTGGAAACTTAGTTGCAGGTAAATCCCAAAGAATATTTCTTCATTTTCTGTTACGAAACTCACTCTAATAGGCAGAATATTTAGCTATGATAAGTAAATTCAAAAAGGGCGGTTTAATTTCGCCAAAGGAATTGGAAGAAAGTCAACTAGTTCTTCCGTTTCTAATGAAATATTCTTCTGTCTTTAAATAATGAACATATTTCGAAAATATTTACTATAGATTATCCAATTGTTTTATTGAAATATATATATATATATATATATATATATATATATATATATATAATAAATACCATCCATACATGAAGCAATGTTATATGAGGTTACGTAGTATATCACAAAACTTTGTGATATATTATTTACTTGCTTTGCGCTCGTCTTTATTCATTCACCATCTGAATTTGTCTAATAAAGGTCTTTAAATATTCCCATTTATAATATTAGAACAAGACATATAAGCGAACAATATTGTTTCCAATTAGATCTCCTTCAGGCTTTACTCTAATTTACATAGATTTATATATAAATAGGTTTTAACCAATGGCGTTGATTTTGTGGATAAAATAATAATAATACTAATAATAATGTGGTAAATGTTTTGAAAGTAGTTAATAACGATGGTTATAATGATGACAAAATATTGATAATAAGGTTTATGCAGGTGATAAGAATAACAAAGGTAGTATATCTTTATATGTGTATATGTAGACAATTCAATAAATAAATAAATTAGATCAAATCTTAAAAGGTGAAGTGTACATATAATCACAGTTTAAATAAATATCATAAAAGTGCGAAAGAGATGGAAAATAAGGAAGGGTGGGAGGGTTTTGAATAGAATTCACCTAGGCCAAGGGAGAGACAAAGGTAGAACAAACTTCTTTTGTATGCAAAGACTAGGATTGTTCTTGCGAATTCCCATAGCTTCGACCGTGTAAGAGACGCGTTCGAAAGGCTCGATGGAATGCGATAGACAACTTTGAAGGCACTAGTTTTGTCCACTTGGTGACCACTATCAATCAAATGAGCCAAAATAGAACTTCATATAGATTTTATTTGACCTTTTCCGAACCATGAAGGAAGATGCTCATTAGTGCGTTGTTAAGCTGTCTAGTTGTTCGCCCTATGTAGCTCTCTCCACAGGAGCAACTAAATTTATAGATACACATAGAAGTGGCACAACTAGGTAACTTGTCTTTCACTTGAGTGATCAAATTTGGTCGGCTGGAAAATGAGAAACAGAGGATGGCGGCATTATAGGGCCGTTTTCTCGTTCTCGATAATCTCAGATGTAAGACTTCACTAGCCACGTACCCATTAGATTGCAGTTTCATGAACAGTTGTTTCTTTTTAACTATTGTCAGTTTCTCTTTATTTCATCTGGTATTCATGTATCTCCTTACCACATTATTATTCTTTGATCTACAAAATCTCCGTCATTGGTTAAAATTTTTTATATATAAATCTATGTAAATTAGAATAAAGCCTGAAGAAGATCTAATTGAAAACAATATTGTTCGCTTATATGTCTTGTTCTAATAAAGGTCTGTTTTGTAAGCTTTGCAAACATCTAACATATATTTGTCGTGAATTTAAGTAGTGCTGAGTGTTCTTATCATTCGCTTGAGGTCGAGTGGGACATATACCTTCAGTTGCACGTCCCATTGCACTCTGTGCTCTGAAGTCTTTCTCAGCTGACCTCACGATTTCCCATAAGCTTCCATTTTCACTTCATGTGATCTCATCTTTGTCACCTTCCGATGCCCGATTCATCTATCGCCTCTCCTTTGGTGTCACTGGACGGGCCAGTGTCTGATGTCATTAAACAATCTCTTTATCTTATGTCCAATACATCTATATGTCGTTCTGAATATTTGTTCGGTGATAGGTTCGTGGTTTCTCTTACTAGTGTTCCCCGATATTAATCATTTCTAGCCATCTAGTATGGAGTGAAGACAGTTAATGGTAAAAGTTTTCTGCTGTTGGGAATGTTTATTGTTTCCGAACTATGTAGAAGCAATGACTAACTTGAGATAGGTGTTGAATATCCGGGTGTTATTATCCATGCTAAGGACAGCAGATTTACCTATTGATTTAAAGGCAGTAAACACCTGACTTGCTTTTCAGAACTAATCCTTTCTGTCCTTGGCATCTTCATCTGTGCCGTCTGTAGCTGAAACGATACCGTTATGATCCTATCAGTGAGGGAAATGACTTTATTTAAGACTTCTTTTTTGATGGTGTCTGATCGTTGTTGCTATTGTTGCTGTCTAGATATCTTCATCACCTCTGTCTTATCCCTGTCCACCTGATGCTACCTACCTTTTCGCTCAATTTGTTGGTTCTCCCCTGTAGTTTTTTGGGTTTTTATAACATTAGAAACATTTATTAGTCAGAAATCGTCCGAGAATACTTAATCTTTTACATTCTTCTTGTTGGTCGACATTGTCCGAAGCGTGATCTGTTGCATCACAGTCAGGTAAATCATCGGTGACAGTTGGCAACCTTGGCTTACTTCTGTCTTCCCTTCAAACGCCTCTCTGAGTTTTCTGTTGTGAATTACTTGACATGTGTTTTTGTTCTATAGCTGTTGAATGATGTTGATAACAGTTTAGAGCTCTTCATATCGTTGAAGTACAGGCCGAATTTCTTCACGATCAACACTGTTGAAAGCCTTTTCAAAGCCGATGAAGTTGAGGTAGAGATTAGACTTGTGTTCGATTATGATGATTAGCGTTACAGTCTGACTCATGCATGGTTTGTTTTTCCTTAAAACAGCTTGTCCATGGAGACGGCTTCCATCCAGAGCATCTTTAAGTCTCTTCAGGATCATGTGACCTACTGTTTTGTCTGGTCTAGAAAGGAACGTAATTCCCTTCCACTTTTCGTAAAGGCTTAGGCTGCCCTCCTTACAGGGTGTCCTTTATTCCAGTTAGTAGCTAACTTTCCTTCCTTCCAAACCTTTTGTAAAAGGGCATGCAGATATCCGCTGAGACCTGTAAGTCTTTGTTTAGCACTTCCAGTGGAATTCTGTCGGCCCCTGCTTCTTTCCTGACTGACTTTCAGTAACTTAATGATACTAACAAATCTTGTTTTTCTTCGGAGAATTTGTATCCAGTAGTAGTTATGTGGTTGTTGATGGTATTTTAGGACGAGCCTCAGGTGTTGGCGGGTCTAGGAGTCCTTCAAAGTGACCAATCCATTGTTCCTTTTGCTTCCTTTCTTTGACAATTAGATCCTATTCATTACCTTTGATTAGTTCCACCTGAGTCGGTCTCTTTCCAGACAGCAATCCAGTTGCGTTATATTGATTTGAGGACCTCCTTACTTGTGAGCCGTTCTCCTTTGGTTGACACTGTGTTGTAGAACCTATTTTGCCTTTCCCTTTTGTCGCCCATTTCGCACTCATTCGTCGTCTGTTTTGCCGTCCCACTCTCCTCTATTAGCTTCCATATGTCCGTAGAGATTGACTCCTTGTTATAAGACTGTCATACAGGAGTCCTTCAACGTCCATTCAAAGGGTCCTAGTGTTCTTCTAGAAAGGTTTCTTATGTGATTTTGCTCATTTCATTTATGTTTCATCTGTGCTCTATTAGCTGCAGAGAATGTGTCGTTTTTAGTTTTCTCCCTCAATTTTGAGGTCTGTCTCCAGCTTCTTTGAATACTCTGAACTTTATCCTACAAGTTTGTTGCACTAGATAATGGTCTCAGCTCAGATTAGCTTCTGTTGTGGACATTACATCCAGCAGACTGCACCGCAAGAGGTTTTGAGATGGTGATGAAGTTCGTCCTGTTTTTGATGTGTCCACCTGGTGGTCGCCTTGTCCATGTCCTTGCTCGTGTATATGCACAAATCACCAAATCATAAGTTTTCACTTATTAACTTGTCGCATTTATAATAGTTTCAATTTTTTGTATTATTTTCAATCTACACTTATGTACAATCTCCTTAGGTTCTTTGATCTACCAGTATGGGTTTGAAATCAGCATCGCAGCATGTGCTTTCATATTTGTTCCAAGCTTAATATCAATTACGTTTCTTCCGGAGACTCATAAACGGAATTCAAATAAAACTAAACAGTGCGAATCTCATTCCCAGAAAGTTGCTCTGAACACTCCAGAAAGGAGCATTTGCGAGGATCATTGTTTAGACAATGCCAACGCACAATCAGACAATCAACAAAGTAAACGTACTGCTGAGAAGCTGCAGGTAACTGAAGTTTTATCAAATAACTAAGTATACGGTTTCTTTTTGCACAGACTATCGTTTTGTCTTGAGTCTTTAATTATTACGAAGTGAAGTCTTTAAAAAAGAGCAAATTATACATTCAGAAATATTCCCCATGTAATTTCTGTCAATGAAAGCAAGAATAAAAATGCGGACGTGGAATGTCCGTACAATGTACGATACTGGGAATGCTGCCCAGGTATCCAACGAAATGCGAGGATATGGCATAGACGTTCTGGGTATCTAGGAGGGCAGATGGAATGGATGTGGATTAGCAAAATTGTCAACTGCAGAGTCAGTGGTCTGTTCTGGTCACCCAGACCACAACCCCGAGCACTCTGAGGCCGTAAGTGGCTATAAGGATGTCACCAGTGGCGGCCAGAACTCTAATTCAATGGAAACCAGTTTCATCCAGCAGGATCATGACGGCATGATTCAGCTCAAAAGGAAGGACAGTCACAATTAGCATGCAGTGCTTTACACTCACAGAAAACGCGGACGAGGAGAAGAAGGTATATTTCCCTGGACAATTGCAAACATAAAGGACAGCATCCCAAATGGTGACATAAAAATCCTCGCAGGCGATATGAATACCAGATGGATTAGGAGCAAATAATACAGAGAGAGAACTCATCATGGGTCGAGAGGCTCTCACTCCATGAAATGAATGAGAACGGAGAATTATTCTCAGACTTCTGCGATTTCAGTGTTCTGGTGATTGGATGGAGTGTGTTCAAACACAAAGATATATACAAAGCAACATGAATTTCGCTTGACGGACATACCACAAACCGGATAGATTTCATAGCAATGCTGCTCAAGGAAGTGGAGACGAAGCTAGTCTGCTGGATACAAAGTCGAGAATGGTGGCAGATAAGAGCTCAGACCATCATCTAGTTCAAGGAACCTTCAAGGTGAAACTGAAATGCCTGAAACCAAATGGAGACAGGCCATTGTAATTCAAGTTCAACATTCAGAAATGAAGGAGAGAACTACAAGGGATGCCTTCACTGTGGATCAGGTTAGAGCATAGTCGGATACACTGCGTGACATTGGCGAGGGTGCCTGCGTTAAAGGACTTTGGAACTAGCTCTCTGATGGTGGTGTCCAAAGAATTGTGTACAACTGATAGAGGAAGAAGGAAAAGGCACGACAAAGGATGGCTCTCAACGGATACCTAGAAGTCGTTGAGGAGAGCAGGATGGTGAAAGAGAAGATGACTCAGTGAAAATATGAATAACAGTAGGCGAAACTAAGTTCACTGTGCACTGCACTGAATAAATAATTGACGAAGAGTGCTAGGAAAGACAAAAGACACTTCTACGATACACTGACACTCAACAGAAACGGAACAGGTGGGCCCAAGGTAAAAGAGACTATAGAACATTATATCAGATAACCAGGCTGCTCGCTATCCGGAAAGAGATCAATTTAGGTGATGGAAATCATAAAAGATGCTCATGAGAACCTGATTGCCAAAGAATAAAAAAACAAATAAAACAATGGGCTAATCACTTCACATTACTCTTGAATCGACGATCACCTGCAACTCGTCCAGGAGTACCACCAACACACACGGAAATGCCAGCGGATACCACCCTTTCAAGGAAAGAGTAAATTCTGAATGGGATCACGCTACTGTACGCCAACCGAGAAGGCAGCAGGACCAGACGGAATTCCTCTTGAAGCACTAAAAGCGGACCCAGAGACTGCGGCTAATGTTCTCACTCCATTACTGCGAAAGGTTTGGAGGGAAGAGGAGGTACCTACCGACTGGAAGGAAGGTTACCTCGTCAAACTCCCAAAGGAGGGCGACTTAGACGTTTATAAGAACTGGCGTCGAATAATGCTCTTGTCCACGCCAAGTAAAATACTAAGTCGCGTCATCCTGGAGAGAATGAAGAATGCACTGGTAAAAGAGCTCTGCCAACCGGAACTAGCTGGATTAAGGTAAGGCAAATCATATACTGATCAAAATGCAACTTTACTCATCACCATCGAACAAAGCGCAGATTGCAGTTGAACGTGTACCTTAAGTTCACTGATCTCAAAAATACTTTCGACAGACAGTGTTGATAGAGAAGTCATTTGGAAACTACTTCAACACTACGGCATGCAGTACCAAAGTCTTTATCAACCTCATTCAACAGTTGGCTATATGACATTGTCAAGTGTCAGTTGATCCACAACGGAAACTTAGCGAGGTGGTCGAAGTACATACAGAAGTGAGAGAATGCTGCCTGTCTATTATCACCGATGATATTATTGTTTGTGGTGGACTGGATTATGCAACAGGCTGTGCGTTGGGAGCGAGAAGACAGGAATACGCTGCACTGACCGATAAGGAGACTCTAGAAGACCTATATTTCGCAGATGATATATGTCTAATGCCACACAAACTCGAAGACTTGCAAGTGAAAACCAACAAACTGGCTCAAGAGGCAGAGAGAACAGAACTTCAGGTGAACACAGAGAAGACGGCGGTGATGAAGATAACCAATCAACAGCAACAACAACAACAACCAGCACCAATCACCTTCAAAGGAAGAGATTTAACAGAAGTTGCCTCCTTCACTTATATGGCCAGGAAGCATCATTTCAACTACAGGCTGAACGGACGAAGAAGTTAAAACCAGTCAGCCAGCTACAATCTGAGTGGCAAGATACATACGCCTTCATCAACCTGAAACCAGTTTGAATATCTTCTGCACTCTGCCTCAGCATAAACAACAAGATTCGAATTCTGTTCAACACAAATGTGAAGTCAGTTAGTGTTTCTATATGGGTCAGAAACCTGTACTGTGCGTCACAAAAAGCATTTCCAACAAGTTACACCTACCACCTTCACTGACTGCATATTGAGGATCAAATGGCTAGCCAGAAAGAATTAGTAACAAGAAACTGTGGGAATGAAAGAAACTACCAAGAGCCGATCTCTCAACAAACACATAGGAGATAAGGGAGATGGATTGAGCATACATTGAGGAGGCCGTTGAATGACATCGCATGCAATGCACACCATCTCTCAAGCGGAATCCTAATGTGAAGCGATGACTGTGTCGTCCTAGAGTGAGAGGGTGAAATGGAAGAGATTGTATAAGGAATAGATGGTGGGTTATGGGCAACCGTGGAGCCGGCCGAGAAGGATGGCAGAAAATAGTAGAAAGTGGAGATATATTGTTGAATCCTTATGTTCCAGTCGGATCCCAAGGGAGCAACAATAATAATGATTTAATAAAAGATGTTGCATCTCTTAATAAACGACATGTAGTTGTTTATTGTAGATGATTAAAAGTATGTTCTACCTCAAAAAAGTGAAATAAAAATTTTTTAAGTTATTTTTCACACTTTTTTTTCCAGCGTTGCTGTGACTACCGGAAACACATCTGATAGGTTTATACTAACTTTTTAAGGAGTTTTATGACTTTCAACTAACTTGCCCGGTCTTGGACTCAGTCACTCATGAGATGGTAGGAAGGCATCGTTGAAGAATCCAGAATTTAGACAAAACAGCACTATAGTACCCAACAATTATCAGTTGTTCTCAAAAATATGTCAGTTCGTGACAAAATTTACTTTGGAAAAGATCAGATCCCTACAAATCCTACATTTGCATAGCGATGACCTTTTTTTAAATTTATTTTTTTTAAATGCAGATATGTAAACATTTGGATCCGGTTCTAATCATGCTATCTGTCATAATATTTCTCACTTCTTTGGGAGCTATATCAGATGTACAGTACTTGTTTGTTTATTTAATGGGAGCTCCATTTTTGTGGGATGCTCAAAAGATTAGCATTTATGTGTAAGTTAATCAAAAGTTTACTCTGCCCACTAGTTTTTCATTCCTCCTTTAGAAAACCTAAATATATTTCTCATCTTTTCCCCCCATATTTTTACTTCTAGTTCAGACTAATTAAATAAATTCACTTTGATTTTAAATTTGAAAATTCATAGTCGTAGTAGTGATTCACAAGTTCATTCGTTCGAATGCATGGAAACCTTTGTTGTTCTACATGATACATTGATTGCATAAATAATTGTCATACAGTTGTAGTTAACTGTACGAAATTAAACTGCTAATAACTATATCTAATAAATATTATTTATTATTATTGCTCCCTTGGGTTCCTAGTGGAACATAGGGCTTCAACTGCACGTCTCCATTTGCTTCTGTCTTCTGCTGTACTTTTCGCCTGCATCCATGTTAGTCCATATTCTTTCAACTCCTCTTCACACGATCTCCTCCATGTCACCCTTGGACGTCCCACACGCCGCTTCCCTTTCGGGTTCCACTCGAGGGCTTGACGCGCGATGTCACCCAGCGGTCTCCTCAGCGAGTGTCCGATCCATCTCCACTTTCTCCTGCATATTTGTTGGGCGATTGGTTCTTGCTTTGTTTGTTCCCATAATTTCTTGTTGGTGATTCTTTCCGGCCATCTGATCTTCAGTATAGAGCGAAGACAGTTGTTAATAAAGGTCTGCAACAGGCTGTTGGAAATATTCTTTGTGACCACCCACCAAGTTTCTGATCCGTATAGAAGAAGACTGACTTGACGTTTGTATTGAAAATCCGAATTTTGTTGGTGATGCTGAGTGACGAAGATTTCCAGATTGATTTCAGGTTGATGAATGTGTTTCTCGCCCCCCCGATTCTCGCTCGATTTGACATCCTCGTCCGTTCCGACTGCCTGTAGTTGAGACAATGCTCCCTAGATAAGTGAATGAAGTAACCTCTTTCAAATCCCTCCCGTTGATGGTGATTGACGTTGGATGTTGTTGCTGTTGTTGGTTGGTTATTTTCATAACCTCCGTCTTGTCTATGTTTACCTGGAGTCCTGTCTTCGCTGGCTGCTTCTTCGACCAGTTTGTCGGTTTTCGCTTGTAAGTCTTCGATTTTGTGTGACATCAAACATAAATCATCCACGAGCGAAATCCAGGTCTTCTAGGTTCTTCACGTCGGTCCAGGATATTCCTGTCTTCTCGTTTCCCACTGTCTGACGCATAATCCAGTCCACCACAATTAGGAATATCATTGGTGATAGTAAGCACCCTTGTCTGACTCCTGTGTTTACTCCAAACGCCTCGCTGAGTTTTCCGTTGTGGATCACTTGACATGTGCCGTTGTCGTACAGCTGTTGAATAAGGTTGATGAATATTTGGGGTACGCCATAGTACTCGAGTAATTTCCAAATTACTTCACGATCAACGCTGTCGAAGGCCTTCTCAAAGTCTATAAAGTTGAGGTAGAGGTTTGATTGCCATTCCATGCTTTGTTCTGTGATGATGATGCGTAGAGTTGCAATTTGGTCAGTACATGATTTGCCTTTCCTGAATCCAGCTTGTTCTGGTCGGAGTTCTGTCTCCAGTGCGTCCTTTAATCTCTCCAGGATGATGCGACTCAGGATTTTACTTGGCGTCGATAGGAGCATGATTCCTCGCCAGTTCTTGCAGAGTGAGGCGTAAGTCGCCCTTCTTTGGTAGTTTCACGAGGTAACCTTTCCTCCAGTCAGTAGGCACCTTTCCCTCCTTCCAGACCTTTTGCAATAATGGAGTCAGCATGTCTGCTGTCGTCTCTGGGTCTGCTTTCAGTGCTTCAGGGGGTATTCCATCTGGTCCGGCTGCTTTTCCAGCTTTCAGAAGCTTGATTGCGTTCAAGACTTCAGCTCTCGTTGGAGGATTGGTGTCAACTTGCAGTTGTGTGCGCGCTGTTGTTGGTATTTCTGGACGGGTTGCAGGTGATGGTCGGTTCAAGAGTCCTTTGAAGTGATCCGCCCATTGTTTAATCTGTTTTTCTTCCTTGGTAATTGGGTTCCCTTGGCTGTCTTTTATAGGTTTCGCTTGTGTTGATCTCTTCCCGGATAGAGATTTGGTTATCTGATATAGTGTCCTCAGGTCCCTTTTGCCTGCTGCCTTCTCAGCTTCAGTGGCGAGGTTGTCGTAGAATCGTCTTTTGTCCTTCCTAGCACTTTTCTTCACTTCTTTGTCCAATGCTTTGTAAGTTGAGCTCAGCGTCTCCTTCTCCTGTCCGTCCTTGCATTGAATCATTTTCTCTTTCACCATTCTCCTCTCTTCTATTAATTTCCAAGTGTCCGTTGAGAGCCATTCCTTGTCTTGTCTCTTCTTTCTTCCTAGAACCGTTGAACACGTTTCGTTGAGAATCGCCTTCAGAGACTTCCAATGTTCTTCCACGCATGATTCTTCAGTGATGTCGCGTAGTGTTTCCTGCTTTGCTCTGACAGTTGCAGTGAAGGTGTCTTTTGTGGTTGTGTCCTTCAGTTTTTGAGTGTTGAACTTGCATTGTGGCCTATCCCCAGCTATCCTCGAGGCTTTTAGTTTCACCTTGAAAGTCCCTTCTACTAGATAGTGGTCTGAACCCACATCTGCTCCTCTCCTTGACCTTGTGTCCAGTAGGCTCCGTCTCCACTTTCTTGAAATTGAGATGAAGTCTATTTGGTTCTTGGTGTTTCCATCTGGTGAAATCCATGTCGTCTTGTGTATATCCTTGTGTTTGAACACACTACCACCAATCACCAAATCATTGAAGGCGCAGAAGTCTGAGAAGAGTTCACCATTGTCGTTCATTTCACCGAGGGCCTCACGACCCATGGTGAGTTCTCTTCCTGTGTTGTCTCCTCCCAGCTTCGCATTCATGTCGCCCATCAGGATTTTGATATCGCCATTTGGGACGTTGTCCATTATTGCTTGTAGTTGTCTGTAGAACGCCTCCTTCTTCTCTTGTTCTGAGACGTTTGTAGGCGCATAACATTGAATGACTGTAACTTTCCTTCCTTTTGAGTTGAACCTGGCTGTCATTATCCTGGAGGAGATTGGTTCCCACTGCATGAGAGCTTTGGGTGCTGTTGGTGACATCATGATGGCCACTCCCTCGGTGTGCTCATGGTTGTCCTCTGGGTGGCCGGAAAAGATTACTGTCTCTCCAGTAGGTAGTTGGCACCTTCCAGTTCCGTTCCATCTGCTTTCGCAGATTCCCAACACTTCTATTCTGTACCTTCTCATTTCAGCGGCTATCTGGGCAGCCTTTCCAGTTTCGTACATTGTACGAACATTCCAGGTACCCATCCTTACTTTTGCTTTCATCGAAAGAAGGCACATCGGCTGACTGGCTTCCCGAAGGCTTTCACCAGCCTGCGTCATTTCACTTCCCCGATTCCAGCGAAAAATAAGGCTATTGTTTATATTTTTAGAATTTTTAATATATTTGTGCATTGAAGTTTCTGTAGCGATTTGGTTGTTTTGGGGGTGGAGTTGCTAGCACCACGCCCAAACCCTCCCTCTTTATCCGGGCTTAGGACCGTCTAGAAAACTAGCAAGCTAGTATCTGGCGAGGTTGATTGCACTGAAATGATGCGATTAAATCTTTCCAGTGTTACTGAAATGACAAGAAAGTCTAATTGTCTTTTGGTGCTGCTAACCTTGAAAGAAAAAATATTTCTGTCTTTCTGAGTTAAAAGTATAATGGTGCTTAGTTGAACTGTTGAGTTTCTGCAAGTTTCCTATAAAAGTTTAACTCGTACTTCACTGTGGCGACATCAACTAGTGTAAACATACACTGTTGTAAACATCTAGTTAAAAGTTATCAGATAATAATATAGTTGAATAATTTTGTTGCATTTTTGTTTATTTTGTTTTAGAGGAGTTGTAGACGTTGTTGGGTCGTTCCTATCAGTAATTCTAGCCTACTTTCTTATGAAATTCGAGGGAAAAAGAAAAACTGTTATTGAAGTGAAAGCCTATGAAACGGAAGATGTAGAACGATTGGAAAATATAACAAATCAATCAAATTCTCATCACAAATTGGTTGCACTTGTCATTGCTCTTAGCATAACACTGATACTGTTGATTTGCAACAGATTTCTAGTTGGCATAGCCTATATGTTTTCCGTCCAAACTGCAAATCTTCTTGTTTACATAGGTAAGTTTACGTTTTCTATTGGATGTAAAGGTTTCTCATTTTTCATATATTTGGCTCCCTCGACAAGTTTCGACATAGAAAGAAAGACCAGATTTGCAGCATAAAATGGTATCATTCTATTTCAAAGGCTCTCACGAGCTGCAAACTATCTGAAGATAAAGTGGTTATAAATAATGGCAATAACATACTTCAATGTAGAGAAAATGTTGTAAGATTACCACATCCAAAATATAAGCATTACAATTTTTACTTTAAGTTACCATCAGTTCGTATGCCTTCATAGTAGAAAAGGAGTGAATTATGGGGGATACAGAGAACAGAAGAATCGGATAAGCAGTGTCAGCAAGTAGGTTTACATAGCAACTCAAGAAGGTTATAGTTTATAAAATTGAAAACGTGCTCAGTGAGCTGAAGTCACTAATATGGTTGGCCAATCAGTGTAATCAAAATCTAGTTACTAAGGGACTGAGCGATTGATTGCATTCTCTGTCTGAATAAATAAGTTTGGTTTGAAAGGTTTGATTGCTATTGCTTCATCAAATCCTAGTAAATTGATTATCCTCTGTATGTTTAACATTTTGAGAGATTTAGAAATCTTGACGAAATGACCCATATCCACAAGGTATCTGGTTATTGCACTTTGCGAATATCCACTTCGTTTTGGACATAGTTTTCTTGGGATATGCTCTGAAAACCGGATAGAAGCGCTTCTTTTTGTCCTTTCAATGTATTTGCTGCCACAAGTGAACGTGAATTTATAGACGCAGCTGAAGGTGACGTCAGCAGGGTGGATTGCCTTAGAGAGTATGTAGTGCTGAATAACGTTACGAGCTTGGCTGCAGGGAGGCATGTTTTTATTGCTTCTTTCGTCTTCTTGTCAGTCGTTCTTGTGACTGCATCTCTTTTTCAATGGGAGACAAATCAACACCTTCTTCTTTTCCACAGTTGGATATTTCGTTTACTCGTCCTTCTCTTTGCTGCACTTTCAGATATACCCCCTTTGAATACCCATTTTCCCTTAGACATTTTTCGATAAGACCTACTTCTTCCTCCATCTTGTCAGGCGAACAAAACTTCCTGGCTCTGTCGTACAGCGTCCTCACTAACCCACGCTTATAGCTTATGGGATAGAAACTGTCCAAGTGAAGATATTGTCCCGTCCACGTTTCTTTTCTGCAGATGGATTATTTGACCGTACTGTTATTTCTTCTTCTTGCATTAAAGTGCAGGAAATTCGACTCATCATTATGTTCATATTCCGTGGTGAATTTAATGTTTGGGTGGATCTCATTAAGACGGTCGAATGATACAGATTTCTGACTCGTTTCATTACAAACAACAAACGCATCATCGACATATCGGCAACAATAGGTTATTTCATTGTCAGCAGAACTCTGTCACGTTTGTTGGAGAGAACTAAAGAAGATACCTGCCAGAAAAGGTTCTAGCGGAGAACCCATGGCTACCTCATCAATTTGTCGATAAATTTGGTTGTTAAATTTGTACTGTATGTCTTTTGTGCAGAGAGGTAGTAAACGCTTCATATTTGTTTCCGGTAGTGGTAATAAATCTCTTTGTTTAAAATTGATGTCGATTGTTTCCATCACTGATATACACGAAGATTGAAGAATTGGCTTTATTCAGTGTGACATTTTTCATGTATCTGTTGTCTTAATTAGGGGACCAATTTTTTTATTTTCCTTTTTAGCCATCCTACCGAGATTAATGAAGTCTTTCATTGTCCCGGTGTTGAGAACCATGTTTATATTGTGTACTGCTTCCAGCAAACACGGTGAGTGTGGAAAGTATTTATATTTGGTAAATCATTTCAAAATAACAAAGATTTGTAAGTTTGTGAAATCTACACAATGATCACTGACGCAGAACGTGTGGACTATGAGAAAACCTCAAAAGAAAACGAGAATTCATTTCACTTGTTCAGAATATTTCATTGAGTCATTACTTACAATTGGAATAGTATTAATTAAATACTATGCATCATTTTATTTCTTAAATATCCTGTGTGATAGGAACGAATACGAAGGCATATTTTGTTTCAGAATGATGAGGATTGTTCATGTTCCTGCAGGTTTAAAACATTCAACAGACATCATGGTGAACTTCCTGATACACTGTGCTCCTATTCACCGACTGATTCTAAATCCGTCTCTGACAACTTATTGAAAACTCTCCGAAATAATATCAAAAGAAGATTTATTTTTTTTATTACAGCTTGATTCTACACTGTATTTTTGGTACAAGTATGGAATTTTCAGCATGGATATCGGTAGCCCAAATTTTGCAGGCCAACCATAGATATCAGGTGTGCGTCGGCAGGGGATCGAACCTCGGACCATGTGCATGGTCAGCGAGAGTCCTAACCACTGTGCCACCGACGCACATCTAATTCCTCCAGCACATTCTGTGTTGATGAGCAACACAAGTAAACTGAGTGTCACACTACTTGTATTGACATGAGTTACGAAGAAATAGTGGATAAAAATAAGTACGACATAAATATCCAGATTAGAGTATGAAGAAATAAAAGTTGTAAATTACGTCGTACTCATCGGTACAAAGTTAGAAATTCGACAAGGTTAAAACTGCTATTGAGTAAGAGTAAAGGCAGTTGACAGTCAGTTTAACAAGTGTCAAGAGGGTGTGAAAATGTACAAAAGGATCATATGAGAGTGATATTAGTGAACTAATTATTGAAGTAAAAGCGAACTAAAAGTATAATTGAAAATTTAAAAAATTTAAATTCTTTACAGCAAACTAGTGAAGAGGTTAGGACCAAGATAGAATAAGAGACTGGACAACCTATTTCCGTGTAAAAGGTCTATTATTGTGTTGCATAAAGAATGGATAGTTGTTCCGCGTTTTTATTTCCTGGTCTGCTGATATCAATAAAACTGATTTTTCCACCTAACTCCGAGCTTGTTTCCTTTTAACCCAGTAACTTTCTGTTTTGTCATCCGTTCGCCTGCTGTTACTTGCTTCAAAGTCAATTATAATTGTGCTTGCTCTCACTGTGAAGTTGTCCCACTAACATAAAAACAGAATTTTGGCAATGTGACACAGTGGCTAGGACACCCACCGACCATGCACATGTTCCAGAGTTTCGACACCCAGCCGACGCACACCTGATATCAATGGTCGGCCTGCAAAATTTGGGCTACCGACGTCACATGCTAAAAATTCCATATCTGTACCAAAAGTACAGTGTAGAATCAAGCTTCATTCATAATCTACATTGGTAACTATTCTCAATAGCTTTCGCCTTAATATACATATATTAGTATAATGCGGTATTATTTACTGATGACGTTTTGAGCACAATAGATTGCCTATAATCATATCAAGTTGTAGTTATGTGTATATTATTAGCAGGAGTAGAAATTTCTTTGGTATGAATTTCTAATGATATGATATAAGTAAATGTAAGTAAAGCAGTAAATTGTACTCGAAGTTCCCAAAATACCATATCATGTGTTTCTTACCAAATAAAAGTATTGCTTGAGTAGAGAAAGAACAAACGCTAATGTAGATTAACGTGGATCCATTTTATCTCCTCGGTTCTCATCAGCTGCGTACAGCCTATACTCTCTAATAAAATAATTTAATGTACAATTTCACCATACTTTTCTCTTTTAGCAGGCATAATGTAAGGGCGTCATTGTGAAATAAAACGTCTGTGTTCACTTCAAAAGCTTTTCTGTGTATTCCGTTGTGGATCACTTGATATGTAGCATAATCATATAACTGTTGAATAAGGTTGACAAATGTTGATTGTACTGTGTGGTGTTATGCTGTTAAGTAGAGAAGACTCCACTGTGAATCCTTACACTTCCTAATGGATTAATTCATTAGAATTGAAACGTGTAGTAAGACAGTTATTAGATACACTAAGTTTGTGAGCTTTGTGTCTGTATCGTTTTTGCAATTGTTTAGTTATTCAGGTAGACTTTATCATGAACAGACAGCAGTTAGATAGCCAGTGAAAGTGGTCGGATATCCTGCAGATATTTTTGTTTAGTTTCAGAATCATCATCATTTGTCCTGCCCTTCTTCAATACTGTTATATCTTATGTCAGTCAATGACGAAATCTACTCTGAAATCGGCTAAACTCAACTGCTAAAAATCCATTACTGTCTCCTTGGTTTGCCTTTTGTTTATTGAAGTAAAAATGCAATATGAAATCTTTATCATCTAAACGGTGTCTCACTTCAGAAATTGTCGGTGTATTTTTTCAGGTATGGTTCAGTCAGTATGTGGATTCATTGTGCGCATCGGTCTGTTGACAAGTTTGAGTGGTCTACCTGCTTTATATGCTGCAACAGTTACCGCCTTTCCTGGGGCTGTCTTCATAGTCGTATGTGTACTGTTGGCCGTTGCACTTGTAATAAATGTGTAAGTTATCTCTTTGACAACTGCCATTATCTGTTTTGAAAATATTCCTGCACAAAATACAAATGTCAGTTCTGGCAATAATGCTAAATGTATAAAATTCTAATGAAGAATGCTGAATGATGCAAAGCTTGTAAAATACAAAAGTATCAGATACTTTACAGTTATTTAAGATGAAAACGACTATTATGAAAGATTTTTTGTTATACATACATAATTTTGCTTACCGTTAGTGATTGAGCGAATACATTTGCATAAAACGGACTGAGATATTGAATGAGGTATGGCGAGACAATTTGAATAATTTATACAAATCAAACGGGTTGAAGATACAAAACTGCAGAGAACGAATCACACGATTTTAAGAAGAACAGCTGGAAATCAAAAAAGGACTGTAGACATAACTACTTTTCAGAATGAAATAGAAGTTTGTTCAGACCTAAAAAACATTGTTCTGATTACATGGGGCCTTAAAAATTCACCTTCTAAAGTAGCAAATGCAAATTAGTTTAACTAAATCAAAAACAGTCTCTACCGTCTAACACACTTTGACGAAGGAGCATCAAGGTGTTCGTCGTATACAAAATGGTAACGATGTACAGCGTATATAGTGTCTGGAATCAGACTTATATCTTCCTCACAGAAACTATAAAACATAAGTCATTCTGTAAGTATTTCAAATATTTAAAACACGCATTCGCTTCTCCTCGGCCACCATTGAAAAGATTAGGTTATCTGCTCAGTATCTACCTACGATTTATATTTTTAGTTAATTTAAAAATCTAACCAAAAGTTTTAGTTAATTTTAATAATAATGGAGTGTAATTCCTTTTTCATTCCAACTCAGATTCCTGCCAGTGTGTATTAAACGGCGATATCGGAGTGATAACCGAATGAACTAAACTTGCTCTCGAACATATATCAAGGTATTATTATTTCACCTACATTTGCTGAAAACTATTACATCAAATAATAGAATTTCACTTTCACAAGTGCTGTTTTTAATACCTGTCAAAAATAAATAACACAGTGTGTTGTGGTATTTTCGGTGAAAGAATTATTCATGTTGATATACTGCCTTTCTTTCAACCTTTCTGTTCCACTGCATGCGTATTTAACTAGGTATTTGACTATCTGAGTCAACAACCTGTCCATGAATATTCACTGATCATGGAAATAATCTCTTAAATTGATTTCAGCACCAAATTAAGAACAGCTCAACAAGAGACAGCCAACTAATAAAGTGTTTTTATGCAAAATTATTATACTCTTTAAAGTGAATCATATTTCTTTATAAAAGCAAACGATGACAACAGCCACTATCCTTCCTAATTTCACTATCTACTATAAATCACTTAAATTCACACTGAAGTCCAAATTCATCTCGAGATATGAATATGATAATTCTTTGATACAATGATATAGTAACATTATTTTTCAAGATCCATGCACACGAAGGAACATTAGTGAGAAAAACACACAAATAAAGCACATGACATTTTCAGATGAATCAATGGTAAACGGTGTGCGTTAAGGCATATACTCGTTCATTAGCTGAATAATTATGGTATCCACGATTAACATGTCACAGAATAGCAAAGATTACGAGGTAAATGATGGCACCTGTCTAGTGAATTAAGTCTTTTACTGAGTAGTTGATTAGACTATGCTAGTAAAAGTATCATGTGATCAGCAGAACACACACCACAAATACATTAAACCATACTGACACCTATAATAGTACACAGATGGATTATGTTTGTTCTTAAGAAGAAAGATGAATGGAAATAGTGAATCAGACTGTTGAGTATATGATTAGTTAATCATTATTCTATCTGAAATTGAGACTTCATATCTGTGTTTCACATTCCTTAAATTGCTTGTAACTACCGATATTCAGATTTCATACTACATGCAACGTGACAGACATCGCGTCACAGTACTTAGTTAGCTGCATCGGTGCCACAGTGGTTAGGACTCTTGCACATGGCCCGGGGTTCGATCCCCGGCCGACGAACACCTGTTACCCATTGTCAGCCTGCAAAATTTGGGCTACCGATATCACATGCTGAAAATTCCATACCTGTACCAAAAAAATACGGTGTGGAATCAAGCTGTAATCAAAAAAATACTTTAGTTGTCCAGCGGTAATATGCCATCTCAACAGATCATATGCTGTTGAGGTAAGCAACCAGTGAATTGCTACACTTCTTAGTTATCCAAATGAAAAATCTGTGTTTCATTAAACTCTGATTTTTCCAACACTTTTTAAGGAAACGAAAATCTTCAATTTTAAAAACAGTTTATCCAAAAAGATACGTGTGTATTGCTACATATAGCGTAAGGAAGATATTAATCGGTTGTGAATGGATGCATATAGCTGGTCGTATTCGAATTTTCGGTAGTTCTGATAATTGAAACGTTTTCATGCGAACAGATAGAAATCAGTTTTCGACATATTCTAAGAAAGAATATCCACCAAATGAGTCCGGAAAAAGAGGGGAGGCTGAGCGTGAGACTAGCGAACCTACTGTGGAAAGTCAACTTGACTGACACAGAAGCTTCAGAGCACAACAAAAATATGTAAAAGAAGTTATTCTTCGCTGAAATCAGAGAGACCAAGTGGGCTGATGTAAGCTTTAAGGATGCCAGTCAGCCTGTGTCTCTTCTTTCAATGAAAGTAAAGACAAGCATAAGGACGTAGAATGTTCGCATAATATGCGAAGCTGGGGAGGTTTCTGAGGTACCAAAAGAAATTAGATGATATGACATAGAATTGCTAGGAATCTACGAGGAAAGTTTTGATGGATTTGAGCTCTCCAAATTGTTAACCAGAGAGTCAGTAATCTACTCCGATCACCCAAACGACAACCGCAAACACACTGAAGGAGTGGCTGCCATGGTGTCACCAACACCTCTAATGCAATAGGAACCAATCTTCTCCAGGATTATGACAGCAAGATTCAACTCAAAAGGACAGATCAGAAGAAGAGAAAAAGAAGGATTTCTACAGATGATTGCAAACAGTAGCTGTTAAGAATGTAAATGGTGACACTGAAATTCTAATGGATGATGTGAATGCTAACAAAACTGGTTAGCAGAAAATAAAAGAAGAGAATTCATTAAAGGCTGGGCGTTGAAAGGAATGAGAACGGAATTCTGTACATTAAGTGCTTGGTGATTGGATGTGTCGTGTGTAAATACAAGAATATACGCAAGGTGAAATGGATTTCTCCTCAGAGACACACCAAAAATCAGGCAAACTTCATCTCAATGTTGCTCTAGAAAGTAAACACAGCCTGATGGACACAAAGTCGAAAAGAGGAACAGTCGTGGGCTCAGACCATTATCTATTTCAAGGAACTTTCAAATTCAAGGTGAAAGCCCTCGTAGCAATCCCAGACAGATCACTATTCAAGCACAACACTCAGAAACTAAAAGACTAAACTGCAAAATACAACTACACTGCAGTCACAAGAACAAAGTCAGAGACTCTATTTAAGGTCACTAAGGAAACCAGTGTGGAGGAACATTGGGACTCTCTGGAAGTGATGGCCGAGGAAACATGCACAGGCGCCTTAGGACGGAAGAAGAAGCAAGACAGGAAATGTCTCTGAACAGAAACCTCAAGAATAGTAGAGAAGGAAGGTATGGTGGAACAGAAAGTGAACCAGTGCAAAGATCAACAACATAAAAAGCTGAGTTCAATAATAATAATAGTGATATTACTTCACACAGTAACTTGGATACACTGTGAAATTTTCAGCATGTATTACAATACTGAAGCTAAGTTTTTTACGCAGTACAGGTGAGAAATAATTAAACACAACATTTATATTTTTATATTGTGTTGTTAAATAAGAATATGAACATAAAAATAAAATTTAAGTGGAAATATTAAATCTATAAAAATGAAAGAAAGAATAAAAAGGAACGTTTGCTTAGTGTTTCTCTGTGGATTAGTACTGTTATGCCATACACTTTCCTAATCACATAGAATGTGTGTTAAATAACGGTATTATAGAAATTTTATACTCAGTCATCCAGGCATAAAATCTCCTCTAGTTGCTGCTAGTCCTACCTGGTGAGATGAAAGCAGATAATCGTGTATATAGAGGATGCTCAGAGTTCAACAAGGTGACACTTGCTAATTTCTTGCATGAGTTCAAGTTTCTATCTATAAAACTAATAACAAATTTGTTCACCTGCATCCCACTCTACCCACCAACCGCTTTTAGTGCCTTTGCAATGTAACAAAGTCTTTATTAAGTAGCCTAGCAAAGAATAAAGGAGAGGAATGAAGAAGAATAGGTAGAATAAAAGAGTCAACAAAGCGTAAAAGTAGAGACTGAGCCATACGGGATTGTCCCAACTTCCTTACGTATAAGGTTAAACGAAATATCTTCGAGAGATCATGCAGAATATACAATCGAAGGTACTTAACATTCGACTTATTTCCAACTTCACTGCCATCTATAATAGCAGAGCTATACGAATCAACCAGTTCATGTAAGCCGCACCTGTATCTGGAATTGAGATTAACAACATGACATTTGTAGGGATTTAGCTCCAAACCATTTGATTACGACCACTGACATATTTCTCTTTTGAATTATCTGATATAGAACTAACCAGTCTGCGAACAATAAGATCATCGGCATACTCAACAAAATTGACTTCACAGAATGGGGCAAGTCGCGTAAGAAGAGAGAAAACGGAAAACAGGAGGAAGAATACCTTGAGGGACACTGGCTACAGTAAGTGAAGCAGAAGTAGACTTCCCATTATCTACCTTGCGCCGCTTCTTATCAGAAAGTAAGAATGCAACCACTTATTAATCTGGCACCCTGCTTGTGTCACAGCACGCTTGCTTAACAAAAGCGGCCTAGGAACAGAGTCAAAGGAGGATGTGTAATCAAGGAAGACACACAGTACAGATTTGGCACCTCTGTCTACACTGGAGAAAATGTCGTGACATCAAACGACAGTGGTATCTATAGTGCACTTACTGTGTTTTTGAGAAAATTGTTTTGGATCTTTAACAACCTCCAGTGAGGTTTTAAGTTTGAGAGAGACCAGTTTTGTGATTATTTTCAAAGATGTCGAGGTAATAAAGACAGGACTAAACTTGGCACAAGATCCACTTGATGATTTGGTTATGGAAGGAATTTTAATGTTTTTCCAAAAAACAGACACAACATCAGTGGAAAATAGTGTATCGAAAATACCATCTGAAGCTATGGACTGGGTGGGTTTCAAAGACTGCAGACATTTAAGAACATGATTTGTATTAAAATCGAGGAAGCGATCTTCCTTTCATTTGTAGCCTCAGAAACCACATAATCTTCTGGAAGACATATGAAGGATTTACTAAATGTATCAGTATCGAATGAAGAAGGATCATGGTTTATTAAGTTCTCATCAGTAATTTCCTCGAATTGTTTCCGCACATTTTAAGGGTTGTGCACAATATGACCTTTTGTTTAAAATTTGTATTTACTCTGTATTTCGAAACTGATTATAACGTTCATTCTCTTAACACTTTTCTTCTTATGAAACGCACAATAATTGAGCAAAGAATATCCTTTTCGATAATTTCCTTCTCTGGCTCTACAATTATATATATGTTTATATACTTGGAATATTCTAGAGTAATAGTCAGTCTGTGAAGTTATTTCTTCCATACGGGTCAGAAACTTGGCCAGAGCACCACAAAAGGCGTTTCCAATAGGTCACTATACACTTTTATCAGCAGCTGGCTTTGCTGGCTCCATATTGAAGATCAAATAGCTGGCCACAAAGAACTAGCAACAAGAAAATCTGGCCGGGAACAAACCAACCAAGATCCTATTTCTCAACAAATATGTAGGAGAACTTGACGATGGACTGAGTATACTCTGAGGAGGACGTTGAATGTCATCGCGCACAATGCAGGTCATCGCTCGATTGGAATCCAAATAGGAAATAACAAGTGGGTCATCCGTTTGAGGGTGACATGGAGGAGATCCTGCGAGAGGCAGATGAGAGACAACGGGCAGTCCTGCGCTCAGATGAAGAGGACTGCAGAGAACATGATAAAA